ACCTTTATCTTTGTTGGGTTGTTTTTTTTCCCTTGTTTCTTTTGAACAATTTATTTTGTTTAGTTTTTGCTGTTATTATTATTATTATTATTATTATTTTCATTGCAATAAATAGCAATATAAACAAACCTCTTTGCATCAGTTGCATCAATTATCCACCCAATCATGACTCCATGCCGTACCTACTTCTGATTTTACAAAGTGGTTAACACTAAGCCTTGCAGTCAGACCTGCGCATTTAAAAATAGCGTTACATGTGGCGAGCTAGCCAGGAGTCTGGTAGTGGGTGAATAATTGAATAATTTCGCAGTGCTTTTATTTTTGGATGTTATCATTAAAAAAATGGATATTGTTGCTCAATTGGGTTTAAACATGCAACGATCTGTGTTAGTTACTGGCACTCAGAGCTGTGAGGACAAAAAAAGAGATAATTGACTGTTTGCAATGTTATGGTGCAGTAAAAGAGGTTTTTCATGTSAATGATCCACAAAGTACATTTTATAAAAACCTGATTGTCGAGTTTGAAGAAGATTCTTTATTAATTGCATTACAACCCCTTTTCCCATATAATTACCCTTCCCAAACCACAGTAGCTGCGATATTTCATGTTACTTCTCTCGCTTCAGAGTATGCAGCCTCAGTGAGTAGCAGCAGCCCTCCCATGGACTACATTGATGAGCTGAAGAACATAGCTAAACGAAGTGGAAAACGGTTTGAGGATGTTCTGAAAGGGGTGATGGATCAGATAAGCACACATTTGGAGAGAACGGGAGGAGATGATGGCGATGAGGATGAGGATGATGATGGTGATGATGGAGATAATGGTGGTGATGAAGAGGAGGAAGAAAAAAAGAAGACATCCTCACCTTCGCACAACCTGTGCAAAGTCAGCAGAAGTTGCCAACTGTGCCTCAAGCCTCTTCAGCCCCTCCAACCCATTCATCCACTAATCAGCAGGGAGCGCCATCTGGACCCAGCCACTCCAGTACACCACCAACCCAGAGGGTTCCTTTGTCAAGGAATGACCTTATTCCACAGGACGTTCAAAGAGTTGTGGTGGAGCATGTTGTAAAAAATAGTGACTTTTCTACATCTTCACTTAGACTCCGCTCATTTTCAGGAAAAATTCCTAAACCAAGCAATGAAGCAGACTATGACTCATGGCGATCCCAAATTGAACTGTTACTTGCTGATCCCAGCCTTTCCAGATTGCATGTTAATCGGCGAATTGTTGAAAGTTTGTTGTCACCAGCTACAGATTTGATTAAATGTTTGAGCCCTGGTGCACCACCTTCCACTCTTCTTCAAGTCCTTGATTCAGCTTTTCAGACAGTACAGGATGGAGGAGCTTTTTGCTCAGTTTTTAAACATTTTTCAGAATCCTGGAGAGCGGCCATCTTCCTATCTCCAGCGACTGCAGCTTACCCTCAGCACAGTAATAAAAAGAGGAGGAATATTACCAAGAGACAAAGACGCACATTTACTTAAACAGTTCTGCYGKGGATGCTGGGACAACTCRGTCATCTCCAAGWTGCAGCTTGAGGAGAAAAAAAGCAATCCTCCCCCATTTTCTGAACTCTTGTTGTCACTCCGGACAGAAGAGGACAGACAAATTGCTAAAGAATCCCTAATGAGAAAGCACATTCATTCATCTAAACAAAAAGTGACCATTCAGTCTCAGAGTACCTGCTCCTGTGGTCATGACACAGTTAATGAAGAAYTRAARGAACTAAAAAAGCAGATTCAACAACTCCAACGGCAGATGTCTTCCTTCATGTCCAGAAAGACACTTATTAATGCAAAATCAGAACTGCAACAGACCAAGTCTAAGCCAAGGACCAGCTACACCTCACCTCAGACCGCTGGAAGACCAAAGCCAGGGTACTGTTTTAACTGTGGTGAGGATGGTCATATGTCATCCCAATGTAGCAACAAAGCAAATCCAAGCCTTGTGGAACAAAAGAAGAAACAGCTTCGTCAGAAACAACAAGCATGGTATGAGAAAAAGTCAAGTCAGCCGTGAAACTAAATGCAGATCCTGCTGAGGGTCACCCAGGAGCTGCCACCATCAGCTGTCCCAAAACCCACTCTAAATCACATGTTGTATTGCCGAAGGGTCTCATCGGTACGAAGAGCATGGGCCAAATCCAAATAAATGGAACAAACTTCAGCTGCCTCCTTGACAGTGGGTCACAAATCACTACAGTACCACATTCGTTTTATAATACCCACCTCTTTGACCATGAAATTATGTCTCTGAACAATCTGCTGGAAGTTGAGGGCGCCAATGGCCAAAATGTACCATACCTTGGGTACATTGAATTAAATTTGACTTTTCCACCTGAATTTCTTGGCTCCCCAATTGAAGTGGGCACTGTTGAAGTAAACAGTTTTCTAATCAATTATATGGTTTGTTTACTTATTAGTAATCAGTTTATTCAGTAGAATCTTGAGTAAATTAGTTATAGTGAGACATTATTGTGGTTACTGTTTTAATACTAGGAGTCTGAGTGTGTGAACAGGGCCTCTTGAAGGACTGCAGTTAGGGGGAAGGGAGACTTGCTTGCTGCCACTATGTGCAGGAAAATGAAGCTGAGGCATTTGGTGATTTTCACCTCATGCCTCTCCTGTCACCCTGGCAACGCTGATTGGACTCACCTGCAATGAACTGGCTCATCAGCAACCGGCTTTACAAGGAAGGCCTGAGGATCAACTCGTCGCTGGTTTGGCTAGCTAAAGCTAGCGCCGGAAGTCATCTGACCAGGATTGAATCAGGTGTGTTGCCGCGGGAGAAAAACGCTACAGCAGGATTGATTTATTGACAACGGATAACTTTTTGACGACGATTTTTGGATTTTTGAATTGGACGGTTGGCATAAACTGGAATGTGACTGGGTCAGAATGGCAAACAAGGTAGGAGATGATGAGGATGAAATGATATTCGAGGATTGGACACCAGTACGGAATGGGAGNGACATGATGGAGGAATTCAGAACAATTAAAGAAACATTCAATATAGCAAACATATTACAGAAAGATTCAGGAAGCAAAAGTATCAACATTTTAATTAGATTTTTCAAGAAAACAAAGTTAATTAACAGAATATGATTTTTTTAAGGAAAGTAATGTAATAAATACAAGGATAACAAAGAGAAATGGTAATAATCAATAGAGACACTAGCAATTTTGACCAACACTCCATTCTAGTAGGTGGCGGTAATGCACACCAAAAGTTGTTTGTCAACCGCCAATAAAAACCCATGAAGAAGAAGAAGAAGAAGAACTCGTCGCTGAAACATCAAACCACTTTGGGTATGATCTCAGCCTGTGAATATCTCTCTGAGTGTTGTTTAAATCAACTTCGTGTTTTTTCTCTTTGACTACTTGTTCCCAGGTTTTAAGAAACACTTTTGGAAATCCTTGGATCCCAGTTATTCAGCCTGCCTGTTCACGAGCCACTCACCTGTCCTTGCGCTGCCATCTCGCCTCCAACGAACCTGTAAATATACTCACCTGTAAATATCC